TAAGTTCAAGTGACTGTACATACTCTTTACTTTTCTAATTTATTCTTTGCTGTAAATAGAAAAATGAAACGCATAAGGATTAAAAGAAGTGAAGAGTAGTTGATTTAAAAGCAGCAAATGATGCAGCTTTAAGTGATGTTAAGATAGAAATAGGTGAAGAATGTACTGGTGTATGGGTAGAAAAAGATATTCTTAAAATGTTTTGAATTGTGTACAGGCAAACCCCTTTATTCATAGCCTCGGTATTCGTAACCCCGTTTATCTGCAATCAATTTATTGTTACCCATTTCCACTATTCGCAATGGTTGCCCCGTTTATTCGCAAATTCTTACAAGCAAAAATTTTGAACCGCGTGCCTCAACCGTAGCGTAGGACAACGTGTGTACGTATTCCTCCGCCATACGCTCCCGCTCGCCTCAGTCTCACATGTGCTGGCGTATATTTTGTGTGACCTCGCAGTTGTGTTTTGTGTGATCTCACAATGCCTAAGCGACCAGCTACTAAAACTTCCAGCAATGTTGCTAAGAGATCACCACTGATATTAAAGAAAAGGGTGAGACTGATAGTGGAACGCCAATGTATACGTGCGCACTCAAGGAAACATAGTCATTTATCTTAAGAATATGTACAAAAGATTCATTATTGTTTATTACTGAATATGTATTTGATTAAAGTTAATGTTTATATATGTGAAATGAACAATGCAATTCATTAATAATACGTAGAATATTAAAACACACACTAGGAGACAAGATGGCATTGTTTTCGTGATTGATGATGGTTCTACATAAGAAACTGAAGAAAATAAGACCATGGTTGTAGCTGTAGTGAACTTAATGAAAAATAATTGAATACCTGTATGTATATTTTAAGTAATGTTACTTAATGTTAATAAATAGAACACTAGAAGTAGCTAACCACTAATGATAAAGAAATAAAGCGTGACGATTGGGAACGCTAATGTATGTACAGTAAGTGCGTACCTGTGAAAACATATCGTCATTTCTCTACATATGAATATGAAAGCAACACTTATTTACTGTTCATATATGTTTTAAATAATATTTACGAATGTAAAACAGAAATTCTACTCGCCAATGGTGGTAAAGTCTAAAACATAAGGACAGCCAATGAATATTGTATGAGTTTTTACTCAGATGATTAATTCATCAGGTTCAACTCTGGCTGAAGCTGTAGCTTTCCATAAAGCTGTTGCTGAAACTGTTGCTGAACCTGAAGTTGTTGTTGAAGCTGCTTGTGATGCTGAATTTGATGGTGTAGCTGAAGTTGGTGGTTTAGGCCTTCGGATAATAAAGCTGTTGAAAGAACCTTGCACAGCTGCTTTCTTTTCTCATTATACATCTTTATGTAGAGGTCATTTGCATTTATTTAAATTTTAATGCTTTTTTCTGTTAATGGATCCACTTCAGAAAATATCTTCATTGCTTGCTCCATATAATATCCACAGACCTCTCACCTTTTTCATATCGTTTTAACACATCTAGTTTCTCAGCTAAGCTTATACACTTTCTATTAGCTTTTGTAACAACACTTCCATCACTTGCTCATAGGAATGCAAAAATGCTGTAAGAAACCTGCGTAAGTTTTTCTCTTTTTCCTGTTCAGATGCGTGAAAACAAAGGGCCCGCCAGCTGCGATTGTTTACACTAGTGATGCTGGCTTCACCACTAACAAGCTCGGCAGCCTTTGTCTGCAAGGCTTGTTTTTTTTGTTTTTTTAATATTAGGATTTAGTTATTATTTATACGGAAATTTAATGTTTTTTTTTTCATTGTAAATACAAAGAAAATAATGGCGTGAATTAAATTGGGTCCTAAATTAACCAGTGTCTGATATACGAATCTTCATTAGTTGAACCGTCGTTATCGGAGGCTTTACTGTACCAGTTATGCAGTAGTTAATATTTTACTGGGAATGACTAAACTGATGTGTTTGTGGATGAGTGAATGTTATGCTTCCTGATCCTTCTTCCAGGTGTTGGTGGTATTGGTATGGGCATCAAGGTGGTATCTGGTTCTGGTCAGTTACAAAGTTCACCCTCATGCCAGCCCTCACAGCAACAACAACAACAGCAGCAGCAGCAGCAGCAACAACAACAACAACAGCAGCAGCAGCAACAACAACAGCAGCACCAGAGCCAAGGACAAGGCCAGCCTCGTCCCCCACGCTCTCGCACCAATGTGGCGCTGCAAGCAATTATGAAGAGGAACTCGGCCATGCAAGAAGCCAAACAGGTAAAAGAATGAACACCAATTATGTGTGGTGGACTACTACATAAATGTCGAGTATCAACAGAGTTATACTGATAAACATTTGTAATTCCTTTCCGATGGTCCAGAATCATTGATAGTTGTTGCAAGTCCCAAGTGAGAACCAAGAAGAAAGTTATTGTTAGATCTTGAATGGGCTTTATTAAATTACTTTTGTGTAGGAATTCATTAGAAATTATTAAGTCATAAAAATACTGCATAATATTACCATGGCTGTTATACAGTAATATCTCCATTAGCTGGACTCCCTCTTAACCAGAACTCTCCGATAGCCAAAATTTAAATTTTCTCTGAAAATCGTTCCCAAAGTCGGAATTTTCTGGAAAATTCTGTCTTTGGGAACGATTTCCGAGGGGCATATTTTCTGGAAAATTATGAAAAAATTTTCCCAGTGTCCGGAAAATTCCCAGGATGGGGTAGTTTTTTTTCCAGGTTTGAGAGATGAAAATCAGACGCATTTTCCGCTACTTGGAAAATTCCGGGGATGAGGGATTTTTTTCCAGCTTTGAAAGGTGATGTAATGCGCAATTTCTGGAACTTTGGAGAACATTTTTCCATTACCCGGGAATGGGGGATTTTTTCAGCTTTGAGTCATCTCGTCACCCGGAAATCTCTCATTCCCAGAAGTGCTCTGCACCAATTGTTCCGGCTAACAGAGATATCACTGTACTATTAATTTCTAGAGTTAAGCTTTTATCAAGTAAGGCATATTAGCTTAACTCAAGTTGTAATTATTGTAATGGGGAGGAAGGCATTTGTTCTTGTCACCTTCAAAATGATGGTGAAATGGAATGAGTTTGATTACTGTGTAAATTTTTTTTATTTAACCTGACCCATTTATATATTGAGGGATACCTGTATCTTCATTTAGTATTGATATTTTTCAGTCTTCCATGATTAGTTTGTAAGGAACTAGAAGAGATTTTCTTTTTTCTTTCTCTCTCTCTCTTATGAGAATTAATGTTTAGAAACAACTTAAAAATTACAGCTAGAATAAAAAGTGCTCATAATTAACACCAAGCAATGTATAAGCAGTGTAAGGTTGACTGCTGTATTATGAAAACTGTTGAACCCCAATTTAATGTTTCTTGAAAAGAGAATCCAATAGCAGAAATCCCATTAGATAAAAATAATTGTGTTTTCTCTCTTCTGACTGGTAAATAATGATGCTCTAGCTAATGGAACCTTGCACAAATTTATATGGATACAGGACCTAATTATTCATTGACTAAAATATAATGAAACAGCACTTAATTGAAATGACTTTATACAAAGACTTTGTACTATACTGTATTTATTATTGTTTATATATCTTGTAATCTTACCAGTATGCTGTATTCAAGCTGGCTTTCCACATTCAGCATATTTCCTAAACTTTTTTTTTGCCTTTGACCAACCAGTACTCAAGATATCTGCTCAAAACATGTGCATGTTGTTCTTTCTGTTACTTATTAAAGCAGCTACCAGTTTTTGCTGTAGATTTAAGGTTATGTGAAAAGAACAAGAGTTGACTCACTTAATAAGTGTGAGGGATAATGGAAGTAAAGAAACCTAATTATACAAAAAAGTAGTAATAGGAAGTCACAAGAGGTAGTTAGTATCAGAATCATCTATGTAGAAATTTTAATGTTCCTGGATGCCTGGATAGGATTGTTTCTTGATTCCATACGTGAGAGATTGATATTGAGAATACCTGTACTACCAATTAACAAAGAAATACTTTTGATGAAATGTAATAAATGTGTAGCAAAATATTTTCCTTCACATTTGCAGGTAACTTTTAAGACTCCCTCCCCAGCCATCTCTCCAAATCCATCTGAAGCTTCCAGTGACAGTCATCGTAGCCAACTTTCCACCCCACCACTGATGCCTCCCAGTTCTCAGCGAGATCCCATGTCAAGTTCCCCCATGCCTCATCATCTTGGACAAATGTATCAGATTAACACACCACCTCAGGGACAAGGAACTTCATTTGTACGACAGAACCAACCCACTGAAAATAATTTTTCAAATCAACAACACCAGCAATTTGGAGGACAACCTCCTTGGGGAGGAGTAAGTGGAATGAGTGGAAATGTCCCTTCCCAGCATGGCATCGGTCGACCTCTACATCAACAAAACCAACCCATGAACTCTGGACCAAACTTCAATATGCAAAGAAATGGCAGTGGGCCATCTCCACAAAATGTTCTACAGCAACAGATGCCAACATCCACACCCAGTCATTCTGACATACTAACAGCAGGTGTGTTTAACAGACCACCTCTAGAGGGCTTCCATCAACTTAGTGGACCTGTTCCACCGAGGCCAGGAGTAGATATATCAAATAGAATGCGAGAGCCAGCACCCAGAATGCTGGAAATGATGGGGATGACACGTGCGCCTCCTTCCTTTGGACCAGTGGAGGGATTGGGAAACCCATGTAGGATGCGCCCTCCAGGCACGGAAGGCCAAGGGTTAGAGAATTCTCCTCGCATGACTCAGGCACCATTTAGACCACATCAGGAAATGGATCCAGTCACTTCTCAAGCCAAGATGAATCATATAACCCATCCATTACTCTCACCTGGAGCTATGAATGCACATCTTTATGGTATGGATGGCAGGCAGAATGTCAGTGGATCTAGTGGTCCTGGAGTGTCAGGTCCCAGGAATATGTTTGGTGAAAGTGACATGGGACCACCACGGGGCCCAGGACTATCACCACCCATGGGGATGGGCTGGGGTCCAGGGCACAATGAAGGCAAAAGCTATATGAATCATCCTCCTCCTACTTTGGCAAATCTTTTGCAGCAACATGCCCCAGTTGATATAAGGCTCAACCTACCTATGGATCACAGTTCAGATCAGCTCAATCCTGGGTTAGCCAGGCTACCTGGTGGTCCCTCAGTACACAACCCTGCCATGAACACTCGCAGCCCTCCTGGTGTAGGCCCACTTGGTGCAGTTCCCCTCGGTATACTCTCCATGCCTTCCACACAACCCCCAGGCTCCATACCTCACAACCAACCACCCAGAGGACAGCAGTCATTTATGCAAGAGGTTAGTGTTGTTTTCTATTTATTATTTCAAATATATGTTTGCATTAAAAACAGATTATAAAGTACTGTAAAAGAATTACTGTGATGGTCCCCAGGTCGAGCTGCACTTATAACAGTGCGATGGGTCAGTGGTTGGATTCCAGGGGACTCCCAGTCCACCCAGCTATATTTTGATAACTGTATACAAGCTGGGAAAATTATGTCAGTGGTACAGAGTCGGCCACACTGCCTATTGGTGAACCGAAGGCTTTATTGTACAGTGGGTTGTATCCATACTGTCCCCAAGGGAAAGTCATGTCTTTAGGACCCACTTTCACTTTATATTGTAAAAACTTATATTTAAAGGGTTATTTAAGATTTACCATATGCCTAATGTTTCATAGATGTTGGCCAAGAAGCAGTTTATATAATTTTTATCCCCTAGGTAGAAATAAATAGTAAAATTCTGTGTAGTCATCAATCAGGTCTGCTAATTTTTCATCTATTTTTTTTTAAATAATTTCTCTGGAAATGCATATTGCTATTGATCCACCTTCCTTACCGGTAATGTGGCCATTGTACTGTAGTTAAACAGTATTAGTACTCCCTCTTTATCGACGGGGGTTACGTTCTGTAAACGGCCGTCGATAAAGAAACCGTCGATACCGTGATGGTTACGTAATTTTTCTAACTATTATTAGCATATGTTGAATAAATGTACCTTTAAGCATTAATGCGTTTCCTTTACGCATAACCTTAAATAATAGTGTATAAATAATAATATAATAAGTGGACAAAAATACTAGCAAACTTACGATTTCATTTATTGAAGTGAACATCGGTCCTTACAGTAAACAAAACAGTGTACAGTACAGTAAAAGTCCAAAAATCCGGATGCCCAAGGCAAATTGTTTACCATTTATTATTACAACACTTTACACTGAAACGCGGGTAGTTTCAACAAAAATATTGTATATTTCCATTCAAGTATTTATTCAAGTCAATTAGGAGGAAATATTATTGTAATACAACAGTTTTTTAACTAAACCATTCGAAAAGTGATTACGGTAACATCTTTTGAACGAAAGAAAGCGCAAGTCATTGTTTTCGTCACGATTTGATCCCACTTTCCACTGTAATACGTACGTAATTTCAACAAAAATATTACATTTCCGTGAATGAATTATATCAAGCACAGTATGAATAGAATATCATTGTAATATAACAGAATTTTAACCGAAAACTATTAAAAAAACGAGTAACATCTCAAGAACATCGGAAGCTTAGGTAAAGTCTTTTGTTTTCGTCATGTATTTTATCCTATTTTACATTGAAATACGTCACGTTTCCACAAAACTACTATTTATTTCCGAGAATATATTCATTCAGGCGCAGTTTAGGTAAAATATACGTGTGATGTAATAATTTTTTAACTGAAAACGATTCGAAAAACACGTAGCCTCTAGCCCTGTTCAAGGAGAAGACTGGGAGAAGCTGTTTGGTGCTGCAGACGATGACAAGGAAAATGATTTTGATGGATTTTAATGAAAATATTCAGAAATATGGTATCGTAATATTTATTCAAGTCAATTAGGATATTATTGTAATACAATACAACAGTTTTTTAACTAAACCATTCGAAAAGTGATTACGGTAACATCTTTTGAACGAAAGAAAGCGCAAGTCATTGTTTTCGTCACGATTTGATCCCACTTTCCACTGTAATACGTACGTCATTTTAGCAAAAATATTACATTTCCGTGAATGTATTATATCAAGCACAGTATGAATAGAATATCATTGTAATATAACAGAATTTTAACCGAAAACTATTAAAAAAACGAGTAACATCTCAAGAACATCGGAAGCTTAGGTAAAGTCTTTTGTTTTCGTCATGTATTTTATCCTATTTTACATTGAAATACGTCACGTTTCCACAAAACTACTATTTATCTCCGAGAATATATTCATTCAGGCGCAGTTTAGGTAAAATAGACGAGTGATGTAATAGTTTTTTAACTGAAAACGATTCGAAAAACACGTACCCTCTAGCCCTGTTCAAGGAGAGGACTGGGAGAAGCTGTTTGGTGCCAAAATAAAAATCCGGCTAAATAATCCGTCGATAATCGAAACCGTCCATAAAAAATCCGTCGATAAAGAGGGAGTACTGTACAGTATTATCAACTTCCTTAAAAAGGATTAAATATAATTTTTTATTGTTTTTATTTACCATTACCTGTACAGTATCTCATTTTATAGGGTGGTGAAGGTGATGGACCTTCAGGCAACACATATTCACTCTTCAGTCCCATGAGTGGAGGCAGCATGGGTATGGGAGCTGGTCCCAGTCGCACAGTCCCTCATCCCCTTTACCCAAGCAATTCACAGCCAAGTGGACAACAGGTAAAGTCAGTCATAAATAGATCACTTTTCTTTTATAAGGAAAATTTTTTAATAGTTTCAAATTACACATGATTGAAACATTCATAGTAATTAAAAGTATGATGCATTATTTGCAACCACCTCTTGCATCACAACAATAACCAGAGCTCAACAGTTGCCAGTTACTCTCCTCCTCTCTTCATAGACTCATTACACAGCACCCGTGATGAGTACAGCTTTTTTTCATTTGTAGGATTTCCTTGATTTCTCTAATGATGCAGTTATTGGGTTAAGGAGGACTAAAGGAGAAGGGATAGTCCATAGGAATTACAGGAATACAGTATTTATGAGTTAAATCTTGGCATGAGCCACTTGCTCCTACAATCACATATGACTGAGACAGGTTTAAGTACAGTAGTATAGTACAGTTTTACAACACAACTGATAGGGACATAAATGAATAGTGTGAGTAAATTTAGGGAGGATAAAAACAATAGCAATGTGTCCATGAGTGAGATAAGAGAGGGATGATAAGGTGGTGAAGTGATTAAGAAAGGTGTGTGTGTAGGAAAGAGAGTCTAGTGTGTACTACAGTTAGGTGTGCTTGGAGAAGAATGCAAATGGCTTCCAGCTGGATGGATATGGATAGATAGACCTACAGTTAAAATTATTTTTATTTCTTTTTTGGATTAGGAAAGATGAAATCCTGGTGCAGCATCTGGAAATATTTTTATACTAAGTTGCAGTTATCTGTAATTTTATTTGATACATAAGTTAAAGTGTTTAGTAATATTGATACAAAGATAAAATGAGAAACTTTACTCATTATCACAGTCGCTGTGGTCTGGTCCTGGCCCATCTCCACTGGAGCGTCTCCTAGAGCAGAAGAAGTACAGCAATGTTCCTAAGTGAGGTAGGGATGAATCGTCCGGATGGAATTAAACGTAACAGATACCACTTTGCGACCCCACCACGGGTGCACGGCAGAGCAGAATCACCACCGTTTATACGGTCGGCGATGAGTCGAGTGGCACGGTACAGCTGAGCTTCCAATATTGCATATAGCATAGCTCGCAGTGCCCTCAGGTTTACTCACTGCTGGACAGGACTGGGGCAAGCAGTCGTAGAACAATGTCATAGTCTGGGTGACTGGGGCATGTATACGTAGAGCTCTGTATTTATAACTGTGAGGAGATTGGCAAGGAAAATCCCTTGATGGCAGTTTACTGAAGCTCGAATTCTCTGTGCTGTGAGTAATAGCATCAACTGCAGTTGTGACATCAACTTGGGTTGTCTGTGCAGCTGATGACTTGGCACACGAAGAATGTAGCTCAGCCGTTTTACTTGAGATATTTCCCTCCCGAAACTCCTGTGGCTAAGGTCGTTTCTGATTGTTCAGATGTTGAAAGTAAGTTGTGAATACATGTAAGTTCCTCAAGAAAGTAGGGATACACATTGATATGCCAATCTTTTACATAGGATATGTATCAGACAGTTATTAGCCACAGATTGTAGGTCTTTGTTCTTCTTGGCCTTTTGTCATATTATAGTCTATAATATAATTATGTGATATGTTTCATCATTAAAAACAGGATTTAGGTCATGATGTGATGGGTTTGTCAGCACGTAATGCAGTTATTACAGCCATGTAATAAATAGGACAAGAGTGCAGCATCAGTACTTAACCATATTATTCATTGGTTTCCTCATTCACTAGTTATTCTCTATACAGACATAATACTATATTTTGTTTTGTAATGTACATTCTAACTTGAGTGAAATAAACCTTCCACAAGTAAATCAGTGAGTTTTACTCTGTGTAGCCAAAAATTTTCCAGAATTTTCCAAAAAAATTCCGAAATTTTTTGGAAAATTTTCAGAAATTTTCAGAAATTTTTCCCAATATTTCTAAAAATTTTCCAAAAATTTTCCAAGCCTAGGTAGGGCCACTGGGAGCGTGGCAGCTCCTGGCTGGGCCCGGGAGTGCCGCTGTACCTGGGAGAACCCTTTGGAGCACTAGCGCCCCTTGGAGGGCCCCTGGAAGCGCCACCGCCACTGAGAGGGCCCCTGGGTGCATCCACTGTCCCTGAGAAAGCCCCTGGGAGCGCCGCATATCCCTTGGAGACCCACTGAGAGCGCAGCCGTTCATGGGATGGCCCCTAGGAGTGCCACTGGCCCTTAGAGAGCCCATGGAGGTGCCGCTGGCATGCCGCCATCCCAGGGAGTGCCCCTGGGAGTACTCCTAGGGGCGCAACTGCCCCTAGCAGGGCCCTTGGGGTCGCCACCATCTCTGTCAGGACTCCTGGGAGCGCCACCGCACCTGACAGGGACCCTGGGGGTGCAAGCGCCCCTGGCAGGGCTCCTGGGGCGCCAGTGCCCCTGGTCAATGCCCCTAGGGGTGCCAACGTCCCTATGAGGGCCTGTGGAGGCACTGCCCTGAATGGGAACGTCCCTGGGAGCACCGCTGTCCCTGGTAGAGCCCCTGGAGTCGCCAGCACCAATAACGGGTCTTGGGGGTGCCAACACCCCTGGGAAGACCGCAGGGGGGGGGGGATGACGCCGTCCATGCCAGGGCCCCTGGGGGCGCCACCGCCCTTAAGAGGGCCGCTGTGGGTAGCACCGCTCCTGGCACGGTCCCCTGGAGCCCTGTGGTCCCTTGGAGGGCCCCTGAAGGCGCCTCCGCCCCTGGCAGGACCCCTGGAAGCCCCACCGTCCCTCGGATGGCTCCTTGGCGGCAATCCACCAAGGGACCCTACCAAGGATTCTCAGGGGCTCTTTGGCATGCTTGTTCGCTGTCATATATATTACCTACTTAAAGAAGTCACTTACTTAACTATGATTGGTGGGCTATTCTATTAACCCAGTAAATTACAGCCAATAGGAGAAGAGCACAACACCCTAACTTATGTTTTCCTGTTGGATATTATTCTCTTTTGCCTTCTTCAGAATGCGATGATACTGGAAATGTGACGGGTAGTGTATTTATTTAACGTTGCATCATATCCCAGAGTTCTAAATAGCGCAGAAACTACTGCACCCAGGGACCCTACTTCTGTCTCTCGGATAGACCCTGGGGTCCTAGCGCACCTGGATGAGCCCCTGGAGGGGCCACTATCCCTGGGATAATCCCCTGGGGGCGCCGCAAGCCTTGGTAGGGCCCCTGGGAATGTGGCAGCTCCTGGCTGGGCCCGGGAGTGCTGCTTTCGATCTTAAAATGACCACTTCGAATTTTGTTTCTTCCCTCTAGCTTTACGATCTTTCCCTTGTGTTTTGATGAGAGGAAGAAGAAGAAGAATAAGAAGGATTAGTGTTTTGATGAGAGGAAGAAGAAGAAGGTTTAAGGGGTAACTATTATATATCATCACAGAAAACTAAGAAGGGGTAACTATTATATTCCATCGCATAAAACTAAGAAGGGGTAACTATTATATTTCGTGACCGAACTCTAAGAAGGGGTAACTATTATATTTAATCCCATAAAACAATTATATTCAATGATATCTCTAGTTTTTGTGAAAATATCTTTTATAAGATCATTGCATTAATTAGTAAATATGAAACAGAGTATGCTATTAAAAGCCTTATTGATTATTCATGTAATTAATTAAGCAATTACATACATTCGTGCAACTCGCCAAAAAGGTGGCATCCTAAAGTAATATAAGTAAACTAGGCTTCAGGGGCCAGGGTTGGGGACAGGGGCGAAAAAAAATGACCACTTCAAATTTTGTTTCTTCCCTCTAGCTTTCGATCTTAAAATGACCACTTCAAATTTTGTTTCTTCCCTCTAGCTTTCGATCTTAAAATGACCACTTCGAATTTTGTTTCTTCCCTCTAGCTTTCGATCTTTCCCTTGTGTTTTGATGAGAGGAAGAAGAAGAAGAATAAGAAGGATTAGTGTTTTGATGAGAGGAAGAAGAAGAAGGTTTAAGGGGTAACTATTATATATCATCACAGAAAACTAAGAAGGGGTAACTATTATATTCCATCGCATAAAACTAAGAAGGGGTAACTATTATATTTCGTGACCGAACTCTAAGGGGTAACTATTATATTTAATCCCATAAAACAATTATATTCAATGATATCTCTAGTTTTTGTGAAAATATCTTTTATAAGATCATTGCATTAATTAGTAAATATGAAACAGAGTATGCTATTAAAAGCCTTATTGATTATTCATGTAATTAATTAAGCAATTACATACATTCGTGCAACTCGCCAAAAAGGTGGCATCCTAAAGTAATATAAGTAAACTAGGCTTCAGGGGGCAGGGTTGGGGACAGGGCGAAAAAAATGACTACTTCCAAATTTGTTTCTTCCATCTAGCTTTCGGATCTTAAAATGACCCCTTCGAATTTTGTTTCTTCCCTCTATCTTTCAATCTTTCCCTTGTGTTTTGATGAGAGGAAGAAGAAGAAGAATAAGAAGGATTAGTGTTTTGATGAGAGGAAGAAGGTTTAAGGGGTAACTATTATATTTCATCACAGAAAACTGTGAAGGGGTAACTATTATATTTCATGACAGAACTCAAAGGGGGGGGGAACTATTATATTTTATCCCATAAAACAATTATATTTAATAATTTCACTAGATTCTGTGAAAGTATCTTTTATAAGAACATTGCATTAACTTGTAATTATAAAATAGAATATGGCATTAAAGTGTTATTTGATTATTACTGTAATTAATTATGTAATTACATAAATTCGTGTAACTCGCCCAAATGGAGGCATCGTAAAGTAATATAAGTAAACTAGGTTTCAGGGGGTAAGGTTGGGGACAGGTGGCGAAAATTAACCACCTCTTCAAATTTTGTTTCTTCCATCTAGCCTTCGATCTTAAAATGACCACTTCGAATTTTGTTTCTTCCCTCTAGCTTTCGATCTTTCCCTTGCGTTTTGATGAGAGGAAGAAGAAGAAGAATAAGAAGGATTAGTGTTTTGATGAGAGGAAGAAGAAGAAGGTTTAAGGGGTAACTATTATATTTCATCACAGAAAACTGTGAAGGGGTAACTATTATATTTCATGACAGAACTCAAAGGGGGGGGGGGAACTATTATATTTTATCCCATAAAACAATTGTATTTAATAATTTCACTAGATTCTGTGAAAGTATCCTTTATAAGAACATTGCATTAACTTGTAATTATAAAATAGAATATGGCATTAAAGTGTTATTTGATTATTACTGTAATTAATTATGTAATTACATAAAATCGTGCAACTCGCCCAAATGATGGCATCCTAAAGTAATATAAGTAAACTAGGTTTCAGGGGGCAGGGTTGGGGACAGGTGGCGAAAATTAACCACCCCTTCAAACTTTGTTTCTTCCATCTAGCCTTCGATCTTAAAATGACCACTTCGAATTTTGTTTCTTCCCTCTAGCTTTCGATCTTTCCCTGGTGTTTTGATGAGAGGAAGAAGAAGAATAAGAAGGATTAGTGTTTTGATGAGAGGAAGAAGAAGAAGGTTTAAGGGGTAACTATTATATTTCATCACAGAAAACTAAGAAGGGGTAACTATTATATTTCATGACAGAACTCAAAGGGAGGGGGGGTAACTATTATATTTTATCCCATAAAACAATTATAATTAATGATTTCACTAGTTTTTGTGAAAGTATCTTTTATAAGATCATTGCATTAATTAGTATATATAAAATAGAGTATGCTATTAAAAGTCTTGTTGATTATTCATGTATTTAATGAAGTAATTACATAAATTCATGTAGGTCGTCGAAATGGTGGCATCGTAAAGTAATATAAGTAAACTAGGCTTCAGGGGGCAGGGTTGGGGACAGGGGCGAAAATTAACCACCCCTTCAAATTTTGTTTCTTCCATCTAGCTATCGATCTTAAAATGACCACTTCGAATTTTGTTTCTTCCCTCTAGCTTTCAATCTTTCCCTGGTGTTTTGATGAGAGGAAGAAGGATTAGTGTTTTGATGAGAGGAAGAAGAAGAAGGTTTAAGGGGTAACTATTATATTTCATCACAGAAAACTAAGAAGGGGTAACTATTATATTTCATGACAGAACTCAAAGGGAGGGGGGGTAACTATTATATTTTATCCCATAAAACCATTATATTTACTAATTTCACTAGATTCTGTGAAAGTATCTTTTATAAGAACATTGCATTAATTTGTAAATATAAAATAGAATATGGCATTAAAAGTCTTGTTGATTATTCATGTATTTAAATGGGGCACAGCATAACCATGTGGTCGTCGAAATGGTGGCATCGTAAAGTACATAAGTAAACTAGGGCTTCAGGGCAGGGTTGGGGACAGGGGCGAAAAATTAACCACCCTTCAAATTTTGTTTCTTCCATCTTAGCTATCGATCTTAAAATGACCACTTGAATTTTGTTTTCTTCCTCTCTAGCTGATCTTCCCGGTGTTTTGATGGAGAGGAAGAAGAAGAATAAGAAGGATAGTGTTTTGATGAGAGGAAGAAGAAGAAGGTTTAAGGGGGTAACTATTATATTTCATCACAGAAAACTAAGAAGGGGTAACTATTATACTTCATGACAGAACTCAAAGGGAGGGGGGGGTAACTATTATATTTTATCCCATAAACAATTATATAATTAATGATTTCACTAGTTTTGTGAAAGTATCTTTTATAAGATCATTGCATTAATTAGTATATATAAAATAGAGTATGCTATTAAAAGTCTTGTTGATTATTCATGTATTTAATGAAGTAATTACATAAATTCATGTAGGTCGTCGAAATGGTGGCATCGTAAAGTAATATAAGTAAACTAGGCTTCAGGGGGCAGGGTTGGGGACAGGGGCGAAAATTAACCACCCCTTCAAATTTTGTTTCTTCCATCTAGCTATCGATCTTAAAATGACCACTTCGAATTTTGTTTCTTCCCTCTAGCTTTCGATCTTTCCCTGGTGTTTTGATGAGAGGAAGAAGAAGAATAAGAAGGATTAGTGTTTTGATGAGAGGAAGAAGAAGAAGGTTTAAGGGGTAACTATTATATTTCATCACAGAAAACTAAGAAGGGGTAACTATTATATTTCATGACAGAACTCAAAGGGAGGGGGGGGGTAACTATTATATTTTATCCCATAAAACAATTATAATTAATGATTTCACTAGTTTTTGTGAAAGTATCTTTTATAAGATCATTGCATTAATTAGTATATATAAAATAGAGTATGCTATTAAAAGTCTTGTTGATTATTCATGTATTTAATGAAGTAATTACATAAACTAAGGCGTAGGTCGTCGAAATGGTGGCATCGTAAAGCAATATAAGTAAACTAGGCTTCAGGGGCAGGGTTGTGGACAGGGCGAAAATTAACCACCCCTTCAAATTTAGTTTCTTCCATCTAGCTATCGATCTTAAAATGACCACCTCGAATTTTGTTTCTTCCCTCTAGCTTTCGATCTTTCCCTTGTGTTTTGATGAGAGGAAGAAGAAGAATAAGAAGGATTAGTGTTTTGATGAGAGGAAGAAGAAGAAGGTTTAAGGGGTAACTATTATATTTCATCATAGAAAACTAAGAAGGGGTAACTATTATATTCCATCACAGGAAAGTAAGGGGTAACTATTATATTTCATGACAGAACTCTAAGAAGGGGTAACTATTATATTTAATCCCATAAAACAATTATAATTAATGATTTCACTAGTTTTCGTGAAAGTATCTTTTATAAGATCATTGCATTAATTAGTAAATATGAAATAGAGTATGCTATTAAAAGCCTTATTGATTATTCATGTAATTAATTAAGTAATTACATAAATTCGTGTAACTCGCCAAAAAGGGGGCATCCTAAAGTAATATAAGTAAACTAGGTTTCAGGGGGCAGGGTTGGGGACAGGTGGCGAAAATTA